CCGAGCCTGCGGCGCCCGCCGCCCCCCGCGCCCAGCGCCCCGAGCTCGGCCAGCTGCGCTGCGCCCCGCTGCAGTAGCTCCTCCCAGCGCCGCGCGCCGCGACGCTCCAGCTCCCGCAGCTCCTTCTCGTGCCGCCGCTGCAGCTTCACGACGCTCTTCAGCTCCCGCAGCTCCTCCAGGCTGGCGGTCCGCGGCTCTGCCGAGGCCGGTGTGAGGCGCGCCGCGGCCCAGACCACCCTCCCCGCGCCGCGCAGCTCCCCAGGAGCTCCGGGCCCACCCAGGCCCATCCCTGAGATCCCCGGGACTCAGCAGGCCTTACCCAAAGTTTCTTTCGTGGCCTCTTCCCTGGCTCTGGCTCCGGCTGCTGCAAGAGCCGCAGGATGGGCTGGCAGGTGCCCTGGGATACCCTGGCTCTGTTCGGAATAGCCCCCTTACCCCGCCCTTTGGGAGTCACTGTATGGGCCCCTGCAGCGCACTTTCCCAGCTCTGAGGCTTCAGACACAGCCATTCCCTCCCTAGGTGAAAGTCTGAGTTTTTTCAAGAGTTGCCGCCAGGCTGGGATGTGCCTGTGGGTGCAGCCAGAGAGATGGAGGCCCTTGCAGTTGGTGAGCGACCCTCGAAGTGCATACCTGCTGACCCGTTGCTCGTTGGGGCTGAGGCCCCATTGACCTGGCCAGCAACTGGATTTCCGGGTAGGAAGGGTTTCTGGGTAGGGAGAGCAGGTTAGGAAGGTGTCTTTACCCACCCTCTCTCCCTAATCGGGGACTCTGCCCCTCCCCAACCCTCCCACAGAGAGGGCAAAGCTCCCGGGGCCCCAGACAGAGGTCCAGGCAACACAAACCTCGGGTAGACCTCCCATGGCCTCCTTGAGCTTCACAGACTTCTTGTCCTGGGCACTGAAGAACTTGATGGGGTTGGCGAGGGCCACAGTAAGATCTGGGTGCACAGGGCACGACTGGCTTGGCATGTATGAAAATGTGTCTGGAAGCTTCCCCTGTCCTTACCCACCCCAGAATACCCTGTCCAGCCCCACTCTGGAGCTGTCTTGATGAGGAGAAGGGGGAATGGACAGCCTGGGCTGCTAGCAAGTGATGGGCTTCCTACCTGCCCAGGTATCGGGTACATAGTCCTTCATCTCCAGGAAGACAAAGAGCGCAGGCATGGTGAGGGGCATGTTGCTCTCACTGTGCAGGCACAAATGATGATATCCTGTTGGATGTGATGGGGTGGACAGTGAGCCAGAGCCCATTCCTGCCCACCACTGTGCACACACAGCCTGGTACTCAAGACTTCTGGCTTTAGAGTCAGAGAGGCAGGATTGGAGTCTGGTACTGCACCTTCCTGGCTGTGTAACCTTGAGCAGGTTACTTTAACTCTCTGAGATTTTCCTCATCTGTGACATGGGGATAACAGTGTCTACCTCATTTGGTTATTGTGATGATTAAGTGGGAATGTGTTATAAGCTCTTAGCACATTTTAAGAGTCCATAAGTGTCAGCTATTCAGGAAACTGCCGCAATAGTTTCAGAAAATTATACACATTCTGTTAGGTGGGCAGGGTTCCTGGGGAGGTATTAGTCCTGCCCCTGTCCCTAAGGCTGGTAACATGAGGGGATTAGGTAAGGTCTCAGGTCTCCCTCTCTGAAGTTGCCCTACCCTCTGGATGGCTCCTGTTGCTGGCCTTGTTCTCAGACCACCTGGGAACAGCGAAGAAGGACCCCTCTCCTTACCAGAGTTTAGGGCATTGATGGGGATGATGCGGTGTCCGAGGAACTTGCTGCCTTCCTCCATCACAGCCACCCTGAGGGAGGCCAGCTCTGGCATCAGGATCTGGGGAGAGTTCCAGACAGGACAGGCTGAGAAGGGAGAGGGGAGCCAAGCTGCCCCCCTCCGTGGCTCCAGAAGTCTTAGCATCAATGTGAGACTATGGCAGCGTTACCAGATTTGGTGAGGACGGACAGAGGGCACACACTAGACCACATACATAGCCACCCTCACAGCTCATGCTGTGGCTGATCTCACACATGGGAGAAAGGCTGGATATGCGGCTCAGGAGGGCACAGGGTGAAGGGTGGAGAGAGGAGGAGGATGATCAATGAGCTCTCTTTATTTGTTTCCTGTTTTTGTTTTTTGTTGTTGTTTTTGGCAGCTGGCTGGTACAGGGATTGAACCCTGGACCTTGGTGTTATCAGCACCATGCTTTAACCAACTGAACAACCGGCCAGCCCTATTTCCTTTGTCTGTAAGTAGAGGCCAAGAACTAGGGACAAACCTACCCCTTGCGCTGCCCTAGGCCCCCACCTTCTCAAAGACAAAGGGCTCCTCATTCCAGACAGGATTGATGGAGTTGGTACTGGGTGACAGCTTGGTACGATAGCGCCTCTTAGGGTCTCCAGGAAGGCCAAACAACTCCACTTCCACATAGGTGCGCACACTGCGTTCTGACAGGAACTGCCCAGAGATCACCTGCGGGTGGGGCCCATGGGAGGCCAGCATCAGATCCCCGTCTGGGTTCTTCCCCAAGCATCTGGGTCCTCTGGCTCCCTGTAGCTGAAGCATCAACTCTTGGGTCCTGTGAAGAGCCCCATTCAGCTCTGGCCACCGAGTAGAGAGGCTGTGTGGCTCCAGGATTACAGTTAGGCTCTGAGGACCAGGGTGCTTCCAGCATTTGGGAAGAGATGGGCCTCCCCACTTCTCTCCCCAGCCGAAGAAGGAACAATACCCTCCGCCAGGGTCTAAGGCTCCTGCTACCCCACTCTGCCCACTCTTTCTCCCCTCCCCCAGCCCAGCCTCAGCCTTTCCCCTTGGTTTCCATGGGGACCAAGAAGCAGCCTCCAGTACTGAGGAGGAGGCAGTTTCCAAGGCAACTTGCTACTGCAGGAGCTGGCTGGGGCTAAAGTTTTCAGGATATCAGGGAAGGGGGTTGGGAGTGGAGGGGGGGGGGCTCTTGTGCCTTTCTCCTCAAAATTCCAGCCTTCCCAGCCACTTGTTTGCCTCAGGGCCTTGCCGTAATGGAAAGGGTGGTGGCAACCACCACATCAATGCGGTCCACCGAGAAGGGATTGAACTGCTTCTCCGGCCGGCGCATGAACTCATGCTTGAGGAGGTAGCCACTCTGCCCGTTGAACTCAAACAGCGCCATGTTCTGTTGCATGGGCAGGTCTGGAGGGACAAGAGCATTTGGTGAAAAAGACCTAGCCCAGGGTCTGTGCCCAGCCTCTATTTCCTGCATTTCCCAGCGTTCCTTGTCTCGTGGATGGGGAGGTTGGGTGGACCATGAGGACAAGGGTTTCTCATGTGCCAGCCTGTTTCCTTGGGGTGTCTCATCTCTCAGGAAAGGTCTAGCAAGGAACATAGCTAAGACCAGGCCACAAGCTCACGGTAGGAGTTGGGGCAGGTGAAGCAGGTGTTCCCACAGACACAGTCAGGCAGAGCGGCAGAACCCATGCCAAGACATGTTCATACATGTGCAATTATAAAGGTGTGAGCTAAGGCATTTGTACCCCCAAATGCTCACACATTTGAGTGTGCTCCCAGAGGCCAAACAAGCATCAGGACACTCCATTCTGTTCTAAAGAGGATGGGGTAAAGTGGGAGGGGCAGGGACCAGGGAAGGGTTCTCAGGGGCCTGGGAGTGCCCTCACCCATCGTCTGGAAGTTGAGGGCAACCATTTGGCATCCGGTATTCCAGAACATCTGGGGCATGTAGTTGGAGGAATCCATGCGGGTGCCCTTGGGGTAAATGCGGCTCATCTGGCGCTTGTTGTAGCTGCCCCTGAGTATAGGAACCCTGCCCAAGGCCGCCTGCACCAGAAGGACCCAACAGCCTACCCTGGGAGCCCTGTTCCCAGGACTTCCCTCACTCCTCCCTTCCCAGCCCAGCCAGGAACCCTGGCTATTAAACCCTCAAGGATACTCCACAAACTGCACTGAGGCCTTGGAGAGCAGGTCATAAGCCTTGAGTTCCGTAAAGGAGGAGATGACATAACTTCGGTTCTTCTCTGTACAGGAGAGAAAGACGGGTTGGAGGAAAATCTACATCAGGCTGGCCTTCCCTTTGGGGCAGCTCTCTCTAGCATAAGATGCCTCCAACTCAGCATCTCCACTGAGGCCTGAGGGTTTAGGACCAAAATCTGGAGGAAGTGTGTGGGAAACAGTTGTGCTGGGGGTAGAGGGTTTTCAAAGTGGTCGTGCACAGAGATGGGGTTTATGCCGTGGTCCTGAAGAGTGAGGGCTACATGCCACGGAAGGGCACAGAGGGCGTGGGGAGAGTGCTAGGCTGAGCCCAGAGGGCTGGAACACACTGTGCACAGGCACAGAGTGTGAGCATGTGCTGTGATGTGAGCAGGGTGTGAAGTGTGTAAGCTGTGGCTGAGTGCACGGGGGTGGGGGTGGGGTGTACACTAAGCTAGTACATGCCATGGGTATGCTCAGGTGGGGGTGCAGGCTGTGGGTTCGGGGATGAGGAGTCAATGTTGTGGAGGTCCAACTTTGCATAGGAGTGTACAGAAGTAGGTGCTCATGTTGGGGATGTGCACAAAGGGTGAGAGGCTTGCACTGTGTGTGTGTCCAGAGAAGGTAAAGGTGAATGGCAGGATTGTGCACAAAAGGGGAAGGGCAAGGGGGCTAGTGTGCACTGGCGACTTTTTCTGCCTCCCACCCCCTCCCAGGAAGTCTCATCCCCAGGGCCAGGGCTCTTGGTCTCGGGCCAGCCCAAAATGCAGTTTAGCCCTGGGAGCCACAGGCCAGCGCAGCTGAGGTAGCCTGTCATAATGACCTGCCTGTCACTGACACACTCCAGAGCGTTCTGTTTGGTGCCAACATCCTCAATGAAGTGCTGGGCAACTGGGAGCCACTGTCACTTAACCAAGCCCTTTGCCTGACTCCTCGTCTGGGTATTTATAGACAGGGCCACAAGTCCAAACAAGGGGGAGAGCCCCCTTCCTCTTACCTCACCACCGGGCTGCTGATGCCAGGACAGCCTTCTCCCAAATCTAGCCTACCCCCGCCCCAAGCCACCCCCCGTGCTAACTCACGGGCAGAGAGCTCGAAGGAAATGAACTTGGTGGGCTGGATGTAATTGACTAGGCTGGACATTTCCTCATAAGCCGTCACTTCCAGGCCCGCTGTGCCCTGAGGAGGAGGAGGAGGATGCAGAGCCCAGGAACACGGCCCCATGCCCCCACCCACAGGGCTCTGTAGCAGAGCATGGCAGAAGGGCCCCAGGACTGTGTCCACACACCTCATCTGACTGCAACTTCTTCATCTCTTCTTCATCCAGGCTTCCCAACTCCTCCTCCTCTTCTTCCGCCTCCTCCTCCAGCTCAGTCCCTTCCTCAGCAGCCCACACTGCCACACAGCTGTCAGCACTGGCTCCCCAGCATGGCTCCTCCAGGCCCAGCCCCACTCCTAGCCCAGATGCTCCTGCCGCCCCTACCCCATTCCTCTCGCTGACTCACCTGTGTCCTCACCACTGGCAGGGGCACTGGGCGGGCAGCCGCCCTCGGCCTCCCCACCAGGTTCCTTGTTGGGGGCTTCTGGGCCAGAAAACTGGTTCTTCTTGTTCTTGATGAGGATCTTGCCCTTGAGATCTTCAGGGCTGGGCAGGGGAATGCCTGGTTTCAGCTGTGGAGAGAGGAGAGGGTGGGCACCATCTCCTCACTTCAGGGGGTAGCCTAAGCTCCTTAATACCAAGCCACGCTCCCTCTGCCATCTGCCTTTCTCTCGACTTGCCTCTCACCACTCCCCTCATCCCCATTCTCACCGAGATAAATCCAATGTATCCCTCAGATTTCAGCTTAGCCATCGCTTCCTTCAGGAAGACTTCCCTGATCCCCCAAGACCAGATCAGGACTCCCATAACAATCACTGGGTTGTAATGGCCTGGTTACTTGTCTGTCTCTTCACTAGAGGGTAACAAATCTGAGGGCAAGGACTATGTCTTTGTTAGTCACTAACATGCCCCAAAGCCCAGCACAGGCCTGACACATGGTAAGTGACAGGATACCAGCCCCACAATCCAACCAAATGATCCTCACATTCTCTGGGGACATTCCCCTCCCTAACCTGGTCCACACCCTGTCCCATAACCCCAGCCCCCAGGCCCAGATGTCCCACAGGAAAGACCACTCACTGGAAACTTTTCCAGGGGCTCTGTGAGCAGCATGTCCCCAAATATCATCCGGCAGTACTCAGCCATCTTAGCCTGTTGGCGGGGACTGCAGGGAGCAAAAGTGGGGGTAGGGCTCAGCAGCTCAGCCCCAACCCTCTCATCCATCTTCTGTGCCCTTGATGATCCAGATCAGGAGCCTGAGGGGTTGGGGAGGCACGGACACAGGCAGGAGAACTGGAATCCCAAGGAGATTGTATTGAGACCTGGGAGAGAGCTGGAGGGGATGGCTAGAGGCTGGGGACAGTGCGGGGAGGACAGTTGCAGGAAGGACACTGGGGACCAGGTGAATAATAAGGCCTGGATACGCACGAGTCCACGTGATTTTCAAATGACAGGATGACAGGATAGGGGGAGGTCTTAAAGGCACTTTCTGCAATAGCTTCAATTGCTTCCTGGAGGAGAAGGGGACTCAGTGGAGAGGAAGCTAATACTTCGAGTGCCCCTCCCTGGACGGCAACTTTCCCCACTCCCCAGCTGCAATACACACGTAAAACTGGATGGTCACTGTTGGCCCCCATCCCCTCTATCCTCTCTACTCCCCACACCAGTCTAGGCCTTCTAGCTATTCCTCCCCTCTAGTTTCACTCCTCCCAACCCCCCAAAAATTCTGGCCCAGGGCCCTTCCCTGCTGTCACTGCCCCCAGCCTCCACACCCAGAGTCTCACCTTGAAGAAGATGTCTGTGGTCATGGTGAAGCCATGGGTGATGATGGGCTCCTCGTCAGGGGGCTTCCCCTTCCAGCAGTCTAGCTCCACGCAACGGCAGCCGGCCAGCAGCACCTGCCGGTACATCTCAGCCGAAGAAAGGCCTGAGAACTGGCCAGCTGAGCGGGAGCAGAGGGAGGGCTGGGACATCAGTCAAGGGCGGTCCAGCGCCGCCCACCCCCCATCACGGTCTGGACTGTTGGCAAGGTCTCAGCATGTGGGCAGCCCCTGCGGAGGACTCAGGGTGCAGGAGCGGTCATCAATGAGGTGCCAGAGCCCACCTGTCAGGTAGGTGTTGTGTGAGGAGTTGATGAAGTAGTGATTGAGTGGCTGCGTCATGTCGTGGTGGAGCAGCAGCTTCTCCTGGGCCAGCACGCTGTTCTCTGGCCCACAGAGAAACCAGACCATGCCCTCGGGTGACAGCTGGCCTGGGGAACCAGGGATGTCTGTCAGGGCTGCAGCCCGGCTGCCAGGGCAGGACAGGACCATGGTGACTGAGGGCTTCCCTTAGTCCTCACCCCTCTGCACGTTGATGCCACTGGGCTCATACTTTTCGATGAGTCCCTGCACCTGGTCAGGCCGTGCTGGTGGGAACAGCAGTGAGTTGAGCCGTGAGTCCCGCTGTTTCTGGTTGATGAATTTGGTCAGGTGCTCCTTGGTCATGTACGGTTTGGCCTTAGCGTGGCTGCAGGCAGAGAGAGGAGCACTGGTTCCTGTCTTTGTGCCTGGAGGCCCAGACAACCCCCTTCTCCAGTGAAGCCTCCTGATTGCCAGCATGGCAGGTGTGAAGAGGGACTGCTAGCCACCACCCCTTCCCCATGTCCAGCCCAGCCCAAGAAGCTCACTAGGAAGTGAAGATCTCATCTATTTCCGGCCGAGGACAGAGGTTCATGAGGAAACTCTTGTAGACAGATTCTGGGAAGTCCTCAGGATTGATGGCATCATTCTGAGGGAATAGTCACCTTATCACCCCTGCCCTTACCTTCTCAGAACTAAGAACCACAAGCTAGGCCCAGCCCTGGGCAAGGGGACCCAGTCAGAGGGAAGCTCAAGGCAGAGGAGCATCAAGGACACCCTGAGCACCCACTTGTCAAGGCCCTGCTTGCCAAGCAGAGAGCATGCTTAGCTGGTCAGCTTTGACCCTGATTTGGGACAATGGCTGGTCCCTTGGCTGAGTCAGGGTTGGAACTAAGAATAAGCAGAAGGAGGAGGAAAAGAGGTCAGAAGTAAGGAGTGTTGCTTGCCACGGCAGTGGGCTGACTTTTTTTTTTAAGTGGAGGGCAAATTTTCAGAAAGAAGCAATTTGAATATTGTAAATATTCAAAAATGTAAGCAAAATGTGAGAAGCAAAAATGGACAGAATTAAAGGGAGAAATAGACAATTCAAAAATAATAATCAGAGGGCCGGCCCCGTGGCTCACTCGGGAGAGTGCGGCGCTGGTAGCGCCGAGGCCGCGGGTTCAGATCCTATATAGGGATGGCTGGTGCACTCACTGGCTGAGCGTAGTGCAGACAACACGGAACCAGGGGTTACAATCCCCTTACCAGTCAAAATAATAATAATAATAATCAGAGACAACAAAAGTACAAGGGACAAAAAAAGTTAAATTGGACTTCATCAAAATTACTTTTGTGCATACATATTGTATGACTCGATTTACATGAAATGTCCAGAATAAGCAAATCTATAGCAATAGAAACAGGAAGTAGATTAGTGGTATTGAGGGATTCTGTGCCTTTGCATTCCATCCCCCCTCAAAACTGTTAAATGTCTTTCAGGATCACACTGGACAGCCAACATCAGTCTCAGTTTAGAGAGTCTGAGCAGGAGAGCCTGGCTGGATCTCCCCCAACCCTTCTCTTCCTCTGCAGCTGCAGCCCCAAGCAAAGATGGGTCAGTGATTTCTGCTGGGAGAGCAGGTAAATAAGGAGAACATAGTCCAGGGGGAGCTTAGGAGGCAGGAGAAAAGGAGGGTGGGTGTGTGCTGACAACAGGCAAGAGTGCTGGCTGGAGGGACCACAGCAGAACTCGCTCCTCCCCTCCTCACCCCATGCCTGAAACCCCTGTGACTGGCCTGCATCGGGGGGTCGCCAACTCTGTAGGGCTGTGACTGCAGGGCGAATGTTCCTCCTTCATGTGGACAGGTGATCAACAAGGTCTTAGTTTCATTTATTTATAATGTTCCAAATTCTTGCCAGGAGAAATACTCCATGGAGGCAGGCTGGGACCTACACAAGGGCACTGGCCCTGGCTCAGGGCCATACCTGCCCAGCGGGCTCCTATTTATCATTCACAAAAGGCCCCTCATGGGGTGGCCATGCTTACAAGTTGTAATGAAAAATTAATTACTTCACTGAGAAGAAAGGGAGAAAATGCTTTTCTGTAGTGAGCGGAAGTCTGCATCCTGGAAGCTTCCACTCTTGTTTCTGTTCCTCTCCCCCAGGCCCTGTGGAACTGGTCCCTTCCTGCTGCTTTCAGATCCCTGCAGACTGCCTCCTGTCCCTGCTGACCTTACCTCACTCCTCCAGGCTGAAAACATTCACTCTCAACTTCCATTCCCAAGGCTAGAATGGGAACGCACACCATTTCTGCTGCTGGTCTGAGCACAGTCCACCGACCACTGCGCCCAGCCCCACCACCACCCAGGGGTGCAGGATGCAGACTGACCTGCTCTGAACCCAGCATCTCACCCCCTTGCCCTGGTTCCACCTCTGTGCCTGGTATCAGTAACCAGTGGCTCTGGAGTTAATTGGCTTGTGGGCTATTGACTGGGACTGTGATGTCATTTCCACCCTCCCCACCTACCACCATTCCTGGCCAAGTTGCTCTCTGTAACAGCCAGCTCAGGTGGGAGTAAGAATACTGGGGGTGGATGAGGAGTGGGGAACTGCTCACCTTGCCTTTTGCGAGATGGCAGGCACTGAGAGCAGCTTCCACGCGCTTGCGGTCAGCAGGAAACATCTGAAAAAAGCTGAAGGGGCAGAGAAAGGTGGCAGGCAGAAATGGGAGTCAGGCCTGGAGAGGGGAGGCTTCGGGGAGCTTCAGGGAGCTGGGAGAAAGTATGGGGTGGGAGTTGGAGGGACTCACTTCTTCACAGGAATCTTCCCTTCAGGATTGAGCTGCATCTGGAGCTTCACCAGGCTGGAAGGGCAGAAAGCAGCCTGTCATGGCCCTGGGTCTGGCACGCTTGCTCCATGGGCTTAGACCATGAAGGCACTTACATTTTGTCCAGGAAGGTGCAGCGGGGGGCATTGGCCGTCAGCGGGTGCTTAACCAGGGCCAGTATATCCTGAGCCCAGTCCTGCAGGACCACAGAGAACAGTGGTCAGGCTTCTGACCACAAGGGTGCCCCCAACCACCCTGCCTCCCAGACCTGTGTCTCTTGGCAAGTCCAGGATATCCCAGGTGCCAAGAGGCAGGCCAGATGCCCCCTGTGCACCTTGCCCACGTTCTCCTTGTAGGAGACAAAGTTGTGGAAGGTGAGGTCCACCATGTCGGGTCCAGACACCACCGTGAGTGTCTTCAGCAGGAAGTTGTTATCAGGAAAGTCCAAGTTGAAGACATCCCGGAGCTTCTGGCTCTGCAGCAAGTGGTTACATGATTAGAATCAGAGGTGTGCTGCCTCCCTGTCCAATGTGGCCTCCCCTGTCCTTCCCCTCAGCCACTTGAACTGTGGCCCACTAGAGCAGAATCCCATCATCTACACCCTAGGAAGCACAGGCCTAGCATCGCCGCATCTCTGACTCCAGGGGCTGGAGTGGGGAGGAGAGGCCCACAGGAAGAGATTAATCAGGGCGGTGGGGCCTGGGAGTCCTGTGTATTTTGTTTGTCAGTTTTGTTTGAACATGGATTCTTAGCTCCCAGACTCAGGGAATCCTGCTTCCCACCAGTCCCTTCCTCCAATTTTCCTACCAGCATTAGGCAAATGTAGGCAAACCAGTCCGGGGGTGGGGGTGTAAGCAACACCTCCCAGACAGTCTCAGGTGCTCCAGGGGCAGGAGCTGGCCTCCTCCCAGATTCTCAATTCCCTGTGCCAGATCCTTGCTGCCCAGCCCAGAAACCCCTTGTTCTAGAGATCAGGCTTCCTGCACCCACAGGGACTGCTGCCCCTGCCTCATGGAGCTGGTGACCACACTGAGCCTGGGCTGCTACTGGGCATCCCTACCTTGGGTATCTTGGCAAACTTCCCAAAGCGGGTGTCCCGGATGCTGGTGATATCCAGAAACTCCATCTCCTGGAGGGGGGGCTCCCAGTGGGAGCAAGGAGGATATGTGGGATAAAAAGGTCAGGTCGAGAATGAAGAACAAGGAGAAGGGAGCTTCCACACCCCTTCAAACCTTGGCCGACTGCCCCTGTTAGATGCCAAGACTGACTGGGGCTGCCTGGACCCCCACCTTCCCTTCTCACGAGTCAGGTTCTCCCTGCTCATGATCCTCCGCCCTTGCTCTCTGCCCATTCCTTTCCTGGCACAGGGGCTGTGGCCTGCGCTATCTCCTCCACCATCCTGGACTCTCCCCAGGTGCCCCTTCCCTTCCTTCTGCCTCGCTGCTGAGGCCTTTCTCTGATCTTTCTGAGACCTCAAGTTAGCCCATAGTCACAGGCAGAGAATCACCCTTCAGCAACAGCTCTTGTTCCTTTCTCTCACCTTCCAAGGGATGCTAAGGCTAGAGTATCTGGGCCTGAGGCAACCATGGGTTGGAGTGACTGCATCCTCCCTCCCAGAGCAAACAGCCCCTGCCCACAGGAGAGCCCCCAGAAACACCCTTCCAGGTCATTTTCTACTCCCCAGCAGCTGCGCCTCCACCCCCGCACTGCCCGGAGGCTGCCTGGAGTCAATGGCTAAGCAGGAGCTCTGGGCCGTGGTGGGGAGGGGCTGTCTCACCTTACTCTGATATGTCCAGTATAAATAATAGCCCTTGGGGTCCACACGGAGGATAACTGGAGAGGCTATTGTAGTTTCCTGCAGAGAGAAGGGGTCAGCTCTCTGTTCTGAGACCTCAGGCCAACCTTCCCTTGTCCAGGCCAGGGCTCTCAGAGTTCATCCTCTTCCTGGGATGTTCCCGTCCCAGTAGTCTGAAGGCATCTCCCTGTTATCTAGAGTTAAGAGCTGGGAGGTATAGAGGATTAGAGATGCCATTTCTGGAAGAGAAGAGGTTTTTCCTCTAAACTCCAAATAGAGGTTCTCCCTCTGGACCGCAAGCAGGGACTTGGTCCCCACCTCAGCCTGTTCTCAAGGGTCATGGCTCAACCAAAGGGATAAAATGTCTCTCCCTGCTTCCACCCAGGAGAGCTAGACATGTCAAGAGCTGAGAGCCCAAACTCCCGCACCTGCATCCAAGGCCCAGCACAATCCAGCCACAACCTAACTTCCCACGTGCCCTGTCCTCCCCTCCATGAACGCCCCACCCCATCCATCCAACAGTCCTGTAAACATACCAAGTGCCTTCCCACCTCCAGACCTGAGCACCCAAGTCTTCTCTGCCTGAAATACCTTCAAGTTCTAGCCCAAGCCTTATTATTTCTGAAAAGCCTCTCTTGAAACATGCTGTAACAATGGGGAGTGGCGGGGAGGGGGCAGCACAGGCTTGTTGATAGACCTAGAAGCCCGCTCAGGAAGTCCCCAGGGGCTCATGGACCCCAGGGCAGCAAGCCTATGCTAGACCGTGAGCTTGGTGCTTAGTGCTTGAGCTTGGTGTTTGCTGAACAAGCAGATGAACCAATGAATGACTCACTTTCTAAATTCCCATTCCACTCACTCACAGAGCACATAGTCTACCTTTTATTTTAAGGGTCTTTATATGTGTATACAACAAGACATTAAAATTGAAGTTGCCAACAAGGCTTGATAGTTGCTGCATAGCAAACCAGACCAACAGCAGAATTTACAAAGAAAATGATCAAAAAAAGCTTCTCAGATCAGAGGTGGTTAGAGTACGGGGGGAAAGAAGATTTTGTGAAGAAGCCAATTTTGAAGAAAGCTGTGTTGTGAGCTCTGTTCCCTTCCGTCCCCAAGGGAGGGTTGGGGGTGACTGATTCCACAACCTTAAGCCTAGTGAGAGGATTCAGCTCTACCTGGAGAGCTTTTGTGATCCCTGCAGTTGTGGGGCATGACAGACTGGGGTCGGACTCCTACCCAGGAAACCGAGTGGGCAACAGATGGGCTGACTCTGTGCAAAGCAGAGCAGAGATGCTAGTGTGTTGGATGAGCTGCACCCCAGAGTGTGTTGGGACAGCAAATGCATGAGTATTTGCTGAGGTCTGGAGTGGGCCCATGGGAGGGAGAGGGGCAAAGGGTCCAAAGCCACAGGAAGCTGAAAGTGGTAACAAGGGGCCAAAGAAGTAATAATGAGTGACCGCCTGAAATAGAGATGTCAGGGAGACCTCAAGAAAGAGATCCCCAGCTGAGGGGGAGGGTCTCCCAAGAATCCTCAAAAATATCCACCAGAGAAAGAATAAGCTTCTAAGCTTTTGCCAGGCTCAGAAAGCATGAGCCAGTTTATGACAGCACCTATTCCAGAAAAACTTTATTACCTCAAAGTTTTGTCTTCCCACCTCCCTCCCTGCAGCCCATCCCTAGAGGGGCCTGGAGGAGGACAAGCAGGGAATCCCATCAAAGGCCCTTTCTACAGGGTCTGCAGCCCACCCGAAGCCATTCCTAGAGGGAGAAGGGCAGAAGATGTAATTCTAACTTAAGGCTGGAGTTTTTATTATAAATAGTTTCTGAAACAGGGTTTTGTGATGAAAAGTGGCCATTGGACTATTACCCAAGAGTCAAGGTAGTGTCTTGTGGCTTGCTGAGTGTCTTTCCATGGCCAGAAGGGTAACTTCTCCCACCAAATACATTGTAAAGGGGCTGTGGGAGACTAATTAAAATTGGGATTTAACTGCATCCCATGCACTGTGCTTATTTAATGTAGCATGACTCACTTGCATCACCTGCTAACTGGACCAAGAGCAGTCTGAGAGCAGAGCCCTGTCTCACAGGTGCATGTGCCCTGTGACGAGGCTTGGGACATTCCTGAGAGTCAGGATCCAGGGAACAGGCAGTGCCCTACCCTGGGAAGGGGAAGGGGCAGCCAGGTAAACGGGCGCTAGCTTGGGGAGAAGGTCACAGAGCATGTCCTCACCCCTGGTGACCCTCTAACCAGTTAGGTTATACACATTGCTCAGAGGAACTGAGAGAGGCCACTTCACTTTTCATTCTGAGCCACTTCCCTAATTCCACAGGCTCCTGGGACATGCCACCTCCATGCTACCACCATGTCAGACAGATCCCATGACTCCTAGGGAAGCAGGAAGCTCTTGCCACAGAGTCTCCTCCCCATAGTCATGGCAACCAGACTCCTCAGCCTAGCCCAGCCACTCATCCGATCCACAGGCTGGACAAGCTAGCCCCAGGGGCCCTCTCCCCTTCCCCACCAAGCCTCCGTTTCTCTTCCTGGGACAAGCCCAGCACTCTGACTCTCATGCTGGGCCAACCCGGCAGCCTCCTTCAGGCAGGGTCCCCCAAATTGTTCTTTTCCCTGACCCAAGAGAATTCCTGACCTATGGCAACATTTTCAGGGTCCAGCAGGACCAGGAGCTGGGAAGAGGCCCCAGTTTAGGAAGGAGCAGACACAGCAGAGATGGGTGCAGGGCGAAACCGTGCCTTCCCTTCTGCAGACAGGCAGGCGTCAGGGGACAAGGCTGAGCCCAGCAAGGGGAAGCAGAAGTCAGCGCTGCCCAGGCCCAGGAGCAAAAGCCTCCAGTTCTCACTTGGATCCAGGGGGCTTTTGCGGCTTCCCCGACAGCAGCTCAGGGGAGAGCTGGGCTTCCCTGGCCAGTGCCCAGTGGGGAGGGGAGAAGGAGCTGGGTCTAGGCACCCTGCTGGAGCAAAAGCAGAGTGTCTGTGCTGGGAGCTCACCTCTCCTTCTGGCCCCACCTCAGCTCTGGGACGTGCTTTCCTCCCACCAATGCTGAAGCCAGGAGCAACAATTCCCTGTTCTTCTTGGGGGCTTTGAGGGAGGACAGATCCAGACCCAAAAATACTACCTCCTGTGACCACCCAGGAGGCCCACCCCTTCTCACACCTCAACACAGAGGCTTAGAACCAGCAGCCCAGGTTTGTTTTTCTGGACAATGGTGTCAGCTGCCTGGCAAGATTCACAGGTGCCTGGGTCCTAGGAGGTATAAACCAACCTTCCCATCTGGGCGAAGTCCCCCAGCAGCCCAAGGCCCCTGCCCCACTCACATCATCCCATTTGATGAAGCGCTCGCCTTGGCTCAGATAGACCTTCACCTTGGGGGGCAGCAGGACAGGGTTGAGCAGAGACATGGTGCCAGGCGTCCCTCCTTGCAGAGGCTAGGCAGACACAGATGAGCGGGAGGAGGGAAGGAAGGAGGCGGGCAGGAGGGGGAGCCAAGCTGGGCTCACATGCCATCAGTCCGGAGCCGGTCCGGAAGTCTGGGTGCTCTTATAGCCCACGGGGTGGCAGCGGCTGAACGTGGGTCTGAGAGCTCTGGCCAGAGGCTCATCTGCCTTGTAAATCAGCCTCCTCCCACCCTGCCTCAGTGGGGGACTGTGTCACTGCTCCTGCCCAGGGGGGCCGGCCCCCTCCTGGAAGCCCCCACCCCCACCAGCTCCTCAGCACTTCCGGCCCAGGGCTTCCTTCTCTGTGCTGCTCACCACTGGCAGGCGGGTCATGAGGCCTCTCCTCCTTAGAAACAGGGCTTCTTGGTCTCAGGGGTCGTCTGTGGTCAGATTTGGCCTGGGGGGCTGGAGAAGATCGATATGGAGACTACGGGGGTACTGTTGTCTGGACTGAGGGGAGGGCACAAGGAGCTCACTAGGGGAAGGGGCCTCCACAGGGGTAGGGTCCACAGTGGGGGAGTCTGTTCCCAGAGACTTGGACCACCCTGGAGGTGGGAGGCAGGGGTGGAGACATGGCCAGCTGGGATTGTGTGTTTTGAATAAGCAAAGTTTGCTGAACACCGAGCTCCTCTTTCTGTGTTTCCTTCCCATGAAAATGAGGCACAAGTGAGGCCATCTGGCCTCACCCACCAGGGGCCTTGCTCCTCTGGGCCCGCTGACCAGCTGCTGCTCCGCTCAGCTCTGGGCAGCCCCTTGCCACCAGCCCCCACTGAGCTCTCCCCCCAGGCGCCCTCCCTCAGCTCTGGCTCCACACGCAGGGGCCAGGGTGAGAGCCCTTGGGGCAGGAGGGCTGCTCCAGGGAGGGCTCAGCTCTGGCCCCTCACACTGCCCCAGTTCCAGGGAGTCCAGTCCAGCCCAGCTCAGCCCTAGCCCACTTCCTCTTGCCTAACCTGCTCCTCTTATCACCGGGGAGGCAGGAAACTCTACCCATGACTTCCTTCCCCTCTTAGGGCCTGGCCTTCTGCCCCACGTCCCACCACGGGTCTCTGTACCACCCCTGACAACTCACCACCCCTGAGACCCTCACCCAAGCCCTAGAACTGCCTCTGCCAGCTGGTCTGGTGGGGGCTGGAGGAAGAATACTCTTCATCGAGAATTAAGACTTAGTAAGCTGCCCAGTGGGGACTGGAGCTCAGGGGATTCCCAACACAAAATAATCCCCAGAAAAGCAATTCTAAGACCAGAGGGATGGAGCCTGGAGCAAGGCCTGACTGAGCCTCCTGGAAATAGCTGGAGAACTCCTCTGAGCGTCCAGAACTCATCCTCCTCCCCTTGCCCTAAGCCCTCAATGTCTTTCATCTCTCCTCTCTCCCTCCCTCTAGCCTTGGGTCCCTATGTGAACCCCTCTAGTAGGTCCTGAGGTTCTGGTTCCCTCCCTGGGATCAGGTTCCCTCTCTATCTGTTTGAATGGATTTTGCAAGGGAAATCCCTCCCCTTCCCAAAGCTTCCGCACCTGTCACCTGCAGCCACACTGGTCCCACACCCAAGTCCCTCCCTCTTGACTGTCCTGCAGCCATCAGCCATCTTTCCACTTTGGGCCTGGAAAGACAAGCCTTCCCTGTCCCTCAACCTGGAGAGGGACATGGACAGGCACCTGTGCTCATTTCAAGGATTTCAGGAGTCCTCACTCTGGTCCTTTCAGTCTTGGACTGAAATCCACAGAACAAATCCTCACTCATCTTTACCCAGGAACGGAAACTGCCTGGACCATTCTTGAGACACCAACTATAGCTTCAATGGGGGCTTGTACTCTCCTGTACACATCCTGACATCCTGCAAAGCCAGCTCTAAAAATGCACGAAATCCAGGCAGCAAGGCAAGCTAGGAAAACCTTCATCAAAGGGGGCTTTTTTCTTTTAAAAATACATTTAGGTTTTTTAAAACATGAGTTGACAAAGAAAAATATTATGTACATAATAATAGAGTGGATATGGGGAAAATCAGGGAAATCACATGAATTCCCAGTTTGGGAAATGTGGCATTGGGCTCCTGGGCTGAGCTGGGTAGAGGGCACACCAGGCGGTGTGCCAATTCACCCCCAGGGCCAGGGCAGGCAGTGGAAGGGTGAGGATGCCCCCTGCTGGGTGCACTGGAAAGTGTGTGCCTCCTGGGGAAGAGCGGAGATGCAGGGAAAGCAAACTTTCAGGGAAGTTGCTGGTAGATTTGTGACATTTGTGATCCATGGAAACACACATGCTGGAGAGTTTGGCATGTGGGAGCCTGAGGCCATAAAAGTGGTAAGAACTTTGTTCAACCCAGTGCTGCCTCCCAGGAATACGCTTGTGGGCTGGAGCCCAGGAGGCAGGTCCCAAGTTCACTTGCTCACTTGGCAGTTTTGTGTGAGGACCCCGTGCTTTGGTTTCAAAACCTGTTCATCAGAGAAGTTGAATGGTGGAAATTGAACTCAGATTTTCAGATGCCATAGCCACCAGCCAAACAAGGGAGTCAGATTAGGTTGGGTTCTTACCTGATACCAAGACTAACCTGAGGAAGCAGTGGGGTTCGGGAATGTGAAGGCCTGTTGGGCCAAGGGCTTGCTTGCTTTTGGAATGAAGATGGCTCAGCTATTGCAGCCTCTGGGATCTGTTTCCCAGCCTGGCACAGGCAGTCACAGTCATTACTGTACCAACCCAGCCACTTACTAGTTGGCTTAATATTTAACCAGTTGGTTGTGATATTTAACCTTCCTTCGCCTCAACTTTCTCACCTATAGAATGAGGATAATACTTCCTCATGGGAATGTTGTGAGGATTAAATAATATAATGGGTGTAAAGTTCTTTTTTTTTTTTTTCCTTTTTGTCTTTTTTCGTGTCTGGCAACGGATCGCAACCCTCAGTGTTGCGCCCGTACCGGACCGGGACCGGCAACGGGATCGCAACCCTCGGTGCTGCGTCCGCACCTCGCTCAGCCAGTGAGCGGGAACCGGTCTGTATGTGGGATCTGAACCCTCGGCGGGAGCGCCGCCGCGCTCCCAAGCAGTGCACTGTAGCAGTGTGCCACCGGGCCGGCCCTATGGGTGTAAAGTTCTTAACACAATGCCTGAACATGAGCTCAATAGCATTATCATTATCATTACTTTATTATTATTATTTATTAACAACACTGACAGGAGAAATGCAGTTTCTTATTACTTCTTCCTCAGTATATAAGCTGTTTTTTCCACAACTGTCTTTGCTGACTTGCTCTTTGGATTTTTTCTGCAGTTTGTGTGGACCTGGGGCTGAACCCACCTTCCCAGAGAAGGCTGAATTAGGGGTGCTCCTGGCTGTGGACTTGAGGCAGGCAGTCCTCAAGTGGCCTGACCTCATAAAGTCATGAGCACAGGGATTCAACTCATGGACAAGTGCCAACATTCTACCAGTTTTATACCACCACATGCCCACAGCTGATGAGGCAGGTGCGAGGGGAAGGACCAGGAGCTGTCCAGCTGTACATCCAGCTATGTCTCCAGACCCAGCCACCCTCTGCATGCTGAGAGCTGAGTGTAAGTGGAGGCATGGGCAAAGCTGGGTAGCAGGTGCTAGGTTCCAATCCCATAGGATGGGAATAAGAGGCAATCTAAATTTCTCTATAAAAGCCCAGGAGGAAGACATTGCTTGTCTTCCAATCTCAAGCCCCTTGAGAACCATAGAAGGAACCATCTGGGACTTAGAAGTAGAAAAGAATCAGTCCTGTGTATGTTTCCCTTTGAAGTGCCATTTTGGATCAAAAGTACCTGGAAGTGTAGCTGAGCAAACGCTGGGTCCATCTTCAAGAAACCCAGATTTTAGTCCCAACCAGCATGAAGGTTTGCTGTGTGATCTTGGCACGTTACCTGAGCCTTGCCATTTTGATCATTTTGATTATTTCTAAGATTCCTTCAAGCTCTAAAAAATCTCTTTTTCTAGTCACAAGGGCAAATCTTGTCACTTCTATCTCCTGCCTTTCCTCCGAGAGATGACAAACCTAGAGATGAGAGCTGTAGATGGAAGGAAAGGCTTGGCTCTTACACCAGCATGGTATTCTTGGACATAATCACTCTTCTTCTCTGCCTCTGTTTATCTGTCTGTGAAATGGATCAGTTTTTATAAGTGTGATGAAAATAAATTAGATGATGTCCTTTTCAGGGCAGACACAGTGTACTGCACATAGGGAATGCCCTCAGTATTGATTAACTGCTTCTGTACTTACTCCTGTTCTGGTCTACCTTGTTTATCAGGACCTGGGCAAAGCCACAGAGGACAAGCCCCTCAATTTCCTGAATAGCAGGAAGTCAGTGAGGACAGGAAACATGTTGAGAAACAGACTCAGGATCCAAAAACATTCTAACCTGCTGAAGCAACAGCCTAACCCTCACAAGGTGAGATGAACAGGGCATATCTGAGAGATCTGGGCTTGGCTCCAAGGCATAGACTATACAAGGACAGGATGGAGAAGTGGCAGCTTAGCAGAAGTATGTGTGAATAAAACTGAGGGTTTTCACTGACAGCCAGCTCCATATGAGTCAAGTGATAGAGCTGCCAATAAAAGCAGACAGACTCTTAAGCTGCCACATTGAAGTCGAGTACTGAGCCCAGTGATTCTCCATCTTGATGACACATTAGAGTTGCGCCTGCAAAGCTCTGGTAACACTGCATATTCCTTGCTGCACCCAGACCCTCTGAATCAGGATCTGAAATGGGTGGGTGGGGAGAGGGAAAGGAAGGTGAGGAGTCTGGATTTCTAAAGAGCTTCACCTTGGTTCCAAGATGCAGCTGGGACTCTAGAACCAAGGAAGACTCAGTCCCATTCTCATTCTTGGCATGTCAGACTACACCTGAAATCCTTGGCAAATTCAGTTTAGGTTGCTTTAGTACGGAGATGTGCACAAGCTGGAAGACATTTGGTGGAGAGCGGCCAGGATGTAGGATGCATGCAACAATCTGAGGGAACC